ATGCAAGCACAAGATCGGGCACATCGTATTGGGCAATCACGTGAAGTGCGTGTTCTGCGTCTGCTAACAGTGAACAGCATTGAGGAGAAGATCTTGGCTGCGGCACGTTATAAGCTGAATGTGGATGAGAAGGTCATTCAAGCGGGCAAATTTGATCAGCGCTCCACCGGCGCTGAACGTCGACAAATGCTTGAACAAATCATCCGGTTCGGTTTCCCAGCCTATTAAGCTTTCCAGTTTTTTCTTGCTACTAGCCAGCGCAGTTGGTTTTTTTGGCTGTTTTTTACAGTCTGATTGTTCAACTGTGACCAGTTGACAGATTTTCTAATTGCTTTGACCGGTGCTACTTCGCCGTAGAAGTCATTGCGCTGGTCATGCTGGCATTTGATTCGTGACAAGTAACGTTCATTAGAAGGCCGAATCATAAGTGGACGGTCCAAGTGGAGCAGCCGAAATGGGTTAAATTGATAAATAATTTGCAACCCTTGGTAGGCCGAGACGTAATTTCTGAATTAGGCGGCCAGTCTGAGTCGTGGAAAATATGGAATAATGTGAAAGGATTATCAGCTTAGCGATTGTCACCAGTTTTACAAATGCGAACATTTTTTTTAAAAAATGAATTGCAAGCAGAACTTGAAGTAAAGGCGTTGTCGGTAAAGGCACTGTCACTGGGCTTTTCACAGACAAGTGAAGTCTGGGAGTTTCTGCTTAACTGCTGTGGAATTTTCAGCGCGCAAAGTGAGGATGATGATGAGGATGAGGTGCCGGACGATGAAACAATCAATCAGATGATTGCTCGGTCAGAAGAAGAATTCGATCTGTTCCAGGTACATTGCTTGTTATTTTTTGTGAATCTGTCTTTAACATGTTGAACTTAGCGTGCCTTCTCATAGAGATAATGCGGAAGTCTGTGTGTCGGCGATTTAGATTAAACGTCGTCCAGTAATACTGTTTTTTTTTTTTTTTTCAAATTTCGTTTTAACCGATTCTGAGTCAGGGTTTTGTCAGGATTTTGAAACAGGGATATTTTCCGGAAAGGCCGATCAGGGAAGAAAAAAGTTTTCTAAAGAAAGTTCATAAAAATAGCACTCCATGTGTCAAATAGCACTCTTGTATGCTGTACGTGCTTTCCTTCAGTTTTACGAGTTGATTCTCGTCATAGCTTCAGCGTATGGCTCATAGATCAAATTTAGCGATTCTTCGGCTCAGTTTCTGGCATTGAATTTCTTTTATAGGCGCCGGTTGTGTGTGAGTTCACGCCAAATCCCTGGCAAATATTTGTTCTTTCATAATTTGTTATGCCTTTGTTAAAAAAATACATGCCAGAATGGGGTCTTTCTAGTAAATGTGAGTTTGGTAAAAAAATTAGTTACCGATGTGTTTTTGCGTTGGGCATATCAGCATTTTTGTTGTTTTGATCATCATCAACAGCAATCTGCCAAATATTTTTCACTGAATTACTAGATGTGGACTAGAAAATTCTGTAATACGAACGGTAACTGAAATTTACGTGGGCGTAT